AAAAAAATATGAAATATTGAACATAAATACTAAAAATATTTTTTACAGTTAGAATTTGGCGAAGAAGTATGGCTTCGAATTTTAGAGAAAGCTGATTGCAAACATATAGTTTTTAATACAAGACAAATATATCCAGATGTGCTAATGACTAATTTGGCAATGGCTCTTGCCGCATATACTGGTGATTCTATGAATAACATTATGCAATTTTTTGGAAAGTGTTTTGTTAGATTTTTTAGTAATTTAGGGTAAGTAATGTATTTAAAAAAAATGTACACAAGTCTAACTTTAAAACATGTTGACAATTCTATGTTGTGTGTAATTTTTAAAATACAATTAACTGTACAGAACACTGCATAATCATCAATCATTTCACGTACGCAGATAATAATCATCAAATACAATTCCAATTCTAATTTTATTTCCGTCCCTTTTTATCTAAATCATCGCATTATCTTTTTACTTTGCACTTTCGCCTCGAACCGATGAATTTGTTATTAATAATTCTTATATCTTTGAGCTTTTGGAGCTTATTTTATGACTACATAATAAAAAAAGACTTATATTTTTATAATATATTGCGCTCTTTTGTTTAATAATCGATATGGTCTCTTATTTCCTTTATAATTTATATTTATTATATTTGTCATATATGTAATGCTACTTGATTTTGTCTGTTTTTTTAAAAATAAATAAAATTAAGTGGCATTACGTCTCTTGGACTCTCAGTCTATTGTTAGATTTTTTTACTATGTTCTATGACTTCTTTATAGATTTTTATTACTTTTCATACTATTTCCAAATTTCGAATGCTTTCTCCTTTTAATTATATGTAATTTACGATCATCGAAAGTTGAAGCGATAAAAACTACATATGTAAAATGCAAAATATTCCCTAGATTTCACAAACTTTAAGAAATGTGTGTAGAAGTTTATACACGTGTCAACATAATCAATTAATTAAATTAGAATTGCTTATGTATACATATTGTATATTTTAAAAAATATTATACTTATGCTTGAAAAAAAATTAATGAAATTTGCACATAATACATAGTTTATTTTTTTAGATATGATTGTACTGTAAAAGCAACTGGTCGTTATTTTTGTGATTTTTTACAAAGTGTAGACAATATTCACATGCAAATGAGATTCACGTATCCAAAAATGAAGAGTCCATCTATGTATACAACGCATGTCGATCCACAGGGTGTTGTTTTGGTTTACAGAAGTACTCGGCAAGGTTTTACGCATTACCTTATGGGTAAGAATTTATTCTTTTTTTTTGTCTTATATTATAAATATAAAAAAATCATACTACTATATTATCAAAACGTTTGTATAAGTATATGAAAAAAAGAAAAATACAGATACGAGTAAATCTTTAGTTCAATTATATTTTCTATTACATATAAGATGTTCTACTTTTTGTAGGACAATTATTTCAAATAGCGAAAGATTTATATAATACAGAACTGGATATTAAAGTATTAGAAAGTTCAAATAATATTCCAGGATCTCGAAGCGTAATGGTTAAATTTCGTATTAATTTCGACAACCAGCAATATGTGAGTTTTAAATTGAAATTATATCGTACCTTCTTCCTTTTGAAAAGATTATTAAGAACTATTAAAAAGACTATTGTAAAATATATATATATATATATACAAACATATAATAAGTTATTATTATATTATACAGTGCTGCTTAAAAGTTTCAAAAAATAACAAAATAATAAAATTTTTAGAATGAACAAACAAAAAATAGAAAAAATATTTAATGCAAAATGTTTTCACATTTTGCCTTTTTAGAAAATCTAAATATAATTAATTAACAATATTATTTGTAATACTAAATTATGCTTTTAACTTTTTATTGTAATTACGTTTATTATTAGTTAAATCTTTATTAAACTACAATTATATGTATATTATTTATAATACATTTAACATTTATTTTTTAATGTTTTATGCAATTTACATTGGGAATCAGATTGCGAAGAACAATAGAATGAATACTCCATTAGGCCGTGAATTACCACCGATAAGTTGCACATTTTTCTTACGCCTTTTTCCGTTTGGTGTCATCATGAACAAGGACATGAGAATATTAGGGGTTGGTGATAAATTGCTTCAAGCATGGGGTGGTACCACGTCCATTTTAAACAGGCATGTTTCAGAAATATTTAAATTAAGAAGACCGAAGGGAATTCCATTTACATGGGGGAACGTAAGTAATACAAATTATATATACTTTAAAGATTGCAACGTAAGTTTTATAAATTAAGATAATACTCTAATTATAATATAGATCATACACATGTGCATAAATACAACATTTAGATACACATAAATGTTTAATTTTTAGGTAATGTACTTGCATTCAGTGATATTCGAATTGGAACTAATTAGAGCAAATGATTATTTTATGATAGATTCAGATAATGTGCCAAGCACAAGCAGTAGTTTAGATAGGCGTGGGAGTCAAGGTGCAAGAAGTATCTTATTGAAGGGTCAAATGAGATATATCGAGGACGTTAAAGCTATTATATTTCTCTGTAGTCCTTTGTAAGTATTTAGTTATTAATGTTACCATAAATTACATTTTCCATAAGATAATTGATTTGTAATAGATTATTTTATTGCAACAGGATTAACAGTTTAGATGAACTTCTTAATATGGGTCTGTATTTGAATGACCTAAATCCTCATGGTATGAGCAAAGAATTGGTGTTGGCAGGATGGCAGCATTGCGGAAGGTTATATTCTTAAATAATAGAAAAAAACAATTTCATCTAAAACTGAATACATGTCATAAGATTTTTCGGATATATAATTTATATTATTTGCAGGTTGGAAATGATGTTTGAGAGGGCAGAGCAAAGATCGACGGAACTAGAAAACAGCTATGTATTACTGGATCGATGGAAAAACAAGAGCGATGAGCTTCTATATTCTATGATTCCACAAACAGTAGCAGATCGATTACGAGCCGGAGCCAGTTCATTGAGCACTTGCGAGGTATGCAAATATACTTCACAATCTTAATCACTTCAACATCCTTTGGATCTTATCTACTAATAACTATTTAAAAATGCTTTACTTACAGTCATTTGAATCAATAACAGTTCTTTTCTGCGAATTATGCGACTTTGATTATTCAACCATCGAAGGAGCGATGGACATTGTTTTATCAATGAATGCCGTTTTCTCCTGTTTCGATACATTGATGGATCAGTTTAATGTGTACAAAGTAAGATTAATCATTTTATTAGAAGTATCATTTTGCTCGAGATAATTCAGAATTTAATATGTTTAAATATAAACATATTAAATTCTGCAGAGTTGGATAAGTTAATTTTTTTTAAACTAAAGTTAAGTTAAAATTAACAGCTTTGAAAATTTAACTTAATTAAGATAAAAGTTAATCCATACTAACATTAATTGAATTAAAAGTTATTTAATGAAAAAAAGTAATTAAAAAATTTAAAGTTAAATTTGTTTTATTTCATGATTTCAAGTTAATTTTTTTTAAATTAAATTAAAAACTAAATTAAAAAGTTAACTTTTTTAACTAATTTTTTAACCAGGAGAGATTCACGTATGTATTTCACGGATTTTGATCAGCTTCGGCGTGATTATTCTGGAACATCAAAAAATAATTTTTGTAAAACAGTATAAATTGCACTTCTATATACTTTTAAAGAAAATCGTGATTTAGCGATGACAGATCGCTTTCAAACCTCTTTATTCTTTGCTTAAACATAAATGAAAAATTTGGATTTATTTGAAATTAGAAAAATGTATCTCTCACGGTCACGAATGTATAAGCATATAATCCAAATAGGAATCTGTATAACACCAATTAGTCAACTCTGATGTTAACTTTTAAAAAATCAATGTGTTGACTCTTACTTTGCCCGTTATTTATTATTATTTGTTTAAAAAAATCAAATTAAAAGTTAATAGTTATCAGTAAAATATAACTATGTAAAGTTAAAAAGTTAAGAGTCTAAAATGTAATTAAATGAAGTTAAAATTAATTAACTTTTGAGCTTAACTTTGAATTTTGTGATTTAGTATTGACACCCAACTTTGAAATTCTGTATATAATCTGAAATGATGTAATTTGTAATCCGTTAAAGATTATGTTGACCAAAATCGTATACGAACTATCTTCGTGACCCAATAATACAAGAAAATGTTTCAGTGACGTATGGTCAAGATAACGAATCGCATATAATTTTATGTAATTAAGATACTTTATGCTCGTTTCTATATTAATTTAATTTTAATCTTGGTTTAACTGTCTTTATTTCTTTTTTGATTTAAGACTCATCAGTGATGTTTTCGGGCAAATCAAAATAAATCTAATTGAGCAAAAGAATATACAGGATTTCCGTAAGTTTTGGCCAATCGGTTTTGTGTAAATAGAGTGGACTAAATTGCCAATGAGTCGGAAAGTCCTTTACTATTTTGCAATTTTTTGAAATAGTTAACAAGATATTAATTACTAAAAATTGCCAAATATTGATCTTAAATAATTTTTTACTCAAATACTATCAATTTTACAAAAAACCTACAAGAAACAAAAATTATTTAAAAACGATATAATCAACAGGCTCTAAAGAAAATTCTAAAAAATAATAAATCAAATGCCAATTTGAACCAACATTGGTTATTAGTGTGTATTTTTATACCATTTATTCAAAGTGAATATTAAACGTATACGTTTCGACCTAAAGTCCTCTTCAGTACAAAAAAAAATATATTAACAAAATTATATAATGATAGCGCATACGAGTATAAACTAATAACATATAAAATGCGAGAAAAACCGAGTGGTGGTGATGTTCGAGTTAATCTTGATCATTAAATTACTAAATTAACTAACATGAAAAAGATTTTTTATTTTAAAACGACCGATCAAAAGGTTAAAAATAATTTAAAAGATGCTAACATGAGATTATACGCGAAAAATGATAAAAAAAACTTACACGACTGTTAAGATTGAACTGAGAATTTCTACAAAGTTTGTTGTACATGTTCCATTAGACTGTTCCATTTACTGTGTAATACAAATGAGATTAAATTAAAAAGTTAATATAAATAACAGTAAAAATCCAATTTTAGTTCACTTACATAAAACAAAATTTACAGATATTACAATAGATACGACATAACTATTTGGTAGGCAAATGTAAAATAAAAATTGAGAGAAACAGTGGACAACAGAACATGTACTTACAAACACAAGTAAAAATATAAATAATAAATAATCAAATATTAACGATATAGACTGGAAGCATTACGTCTCTGAAAATAAATTTATATATAACGGATCAAGAGAAAGTGTATCGTTTTGTAAATTCAGATCTTGTTTTTGTTTTTTAATATGTATCATCTCTAATAACAATTTTTTATGTAAAATTTGCTCTTTGTCTAAAATATGTACGTTATCTCAATCAAATTCATGAAATAAGTTCATCCGATGTTGTGTGATAACTGAATATTGGATCGTGTTTCTTCTCTATTAATATGATTCCCATGTTCACTTATGCGCGTTTTTAGGCATCTGCTTGTCTGTCTAATACGACGCATCACAATCTTTACAGTCAATCTTATATACTACATTTGATTGAGAAGATTGAGGTAGCATATCTTTCTGAACTTTGATAAATCTATTGAACTATCATTATGTAATTTTGTTAATATATTATTTTGTGCGTAAATAGAGCGAATGCAATGAAGATATATGTACAAAACTGAAGAGGATTTTGACCGTAGGTTGAAATGTATACGTAATATTTACTTTGAATAAATGGTATAAAAATACACACTAATTACCAGTGTTGGCTCAAATTGGCATTTAATTTATTATTTTTTAGAATTTTCTTTAGAGCCTGTTGATTATATTGTTTTTAAATGATTTTTGTCTCTTGTAGATTTTTTGTAAAATTGATAGTATTTGAGTAAAAAATTATTTATGATCAATATTTGGCAATTTTTAGTAATTAATATCTTGTTAACTATTTCAAACATTGCAAAATAGTAAAGGACTTTTTGACTCATTGTCAGTTTAGTCCGCTCCATTTACACCAAACCGATTGGCCAAAACTTACGGGACATCCTGTATATTCTCTTGCTCAATTAAATTTATCTTGACTTGCCCAAAAACATCACTGATGCCCTGAGTCTTAAAACAAAAAAGTAATAAAGAAAGTTAAACCGAGATTAAAATTAAATTAATATAGAAACGGGCATAAAGTATCTTAATTACATAAAATTATTACATGCGATTCGTTATCTTGATCGTACGTTACTGAAACATTTTCTTGTATTATTGGGTCACGAAGATAGTTTTTATCTGAGTTACTAAATAATATTGTTGATCACGTATTTGTCATTTACAATTATGTCATAACAGGTGGAGACTGTTGGTAGCGTGTATATGGCAGCTAGCGGTGCACCGGACAGAAATGAAAACCACGCACAAAACGTCGCCGACGTTTCTCTGCAACTTATCGAGCATGTTCGATCCCTCAAATTACCCTCCGGATTGGATATACGAATCCGCATAGGTAACAACCCTGCACATAGTTGTTTAACTTCTCGGACGTAATATATATTTTTTGTATCTTTTGGGATATGGCTTTGTTTCCTCGATATTTTGAATAATTTTGTCCTTGTAAAAACTAACTATTACATCGTACAACGAGACGACGAATACATGAAGAAATTAATTTCATTAATTAAGATAATATTATTTATTGTGAAATCTTTTAGGCATTCATTCTGGACCGGCGGTCGCCGGAGTGGTCGGCATCAAAGTACCGAGATATTGTTTCTTTGGAGATACTGTTAATACGGCCTCCAGAATGCAAACTTCTAGTCTGGTAACAGTTATCTTAGCTTTTCCTAAAATAAGTAATTAAATCCAAATATAAGATACAATCTATATTAAAATATTTTATTTGGTATAGATTGATAAAAATCTCACAATCTATCCAATCTCGTGCTATACATCGCGCATGTGTCAAAGCACTAGTCAAAACAGTCTCGTGTTTCTTAATTTTTTATTGATATATTAGATTAATTTTAATTAAACACAAAAGTTAATAACCAAAGAAATTAATCTATAATTACTTAGTTTTTATAAACAAACACCGAATATCTTGCACACACAATAAGTAATCTAAATTGATAATGTAATTTCAAAAAAGTACAGTTCAAGAAGTATATCAGTTAACATACATATAATTACGTAAATTACATATATCACAGTTTAAATTAATTAAAAACAAATTTATTACCTTACAAATCTGTTGTATTTTCTCTTTTAAATTC